GTTAATTTTCAGCGGATCAAAACTCTTTCAAAAACTGTAATAAAATTGTAATACGATTACAACGGGGTTAAAAGTTTCGAATAAAATTAAAATGCTTGAATAATATTTATTCGCAGCTGTCATTGCGTCGTATAATCTCGGCCGATTTTGGCGTTTCACGATTATTATTATTATTATTATGTTTTGAACGATAAATTGATATTGAAGTAAAGTCCAAACTATTGAATTTTGCCCATCATGCTATGCTAGATACTTTAATACGATGAATTAATATCATTAATATTCGAAGCAAATCTCTTTTTAATATTGCAACCTAATTCTCGATAATTAACCAGAAAATTAACGTTATCGTTGAAAAAGTAACTAATTTCAAAATTTTCAAATAATTCGTTACTCCAAGTAACTACTTATTAAAATACAGTTGTTGTACAGTTATGATCTAACACAATTATATATTCAACGAGTACAACGCTTGTCATATCGAACAATTTTTAAATAGCGAACCTATAACTTAATTTTCCTCCGATCGTGCAATAAAAATGGCACGGATCAAAATAAAAACTATGTAAATATACGTATGGAGATCCGTCTCGTTTCATCACACACACAGCAAAGTTACACGCCGCCACGTCGACGGGCGGAATGCCTCGTACACGCGAGGGACAGTTCATTCATCGACGTCAACCCGCTCCTTCTCCACCCCGCGAAATTCGCGGGTTGATTCTCGGCCGAGTGACGAATACCCGTGTGCGTGTATTCCTCGTGTGCGATGACAACAAATGAATCTCCATTGTTGGCCGTTGCTAATTAAACTGGGGCGGAATCTATTCCAGTCAAATCGTTATCGAAGGAACTCCACTTTTCGAGGGAGAATTCGCGTCTCGTTAACATCACTGGTTTGGTCCGCGCCGTGGACGTCGGCCACAAATCATCCCCGATAATCCACGCTCGTTTTACGCGCATATCGCGCTACTAAATTTAACCGCAGCGCTTTCCCGCCGAATAGTCGCGGTTAATCGAATCGAATCGTGAATCCAGGCCAGACATGATCGCGAATCGATATCCTTAAGTTAAGACGATAAGACGACGATGTCAGTCTTAATTGGAATTCTTATTTTCTCTTATACTTGAACTTGTTATTATTAAATATATTGTGAGACGAGACGATAGAGGAATGAAGCAGACTCGAGGTATATTTATTTTATGTTAATAATAAGTTTTGTTAAAGAGGAGAAGAGAAAAAGAAGTAGGAATTTTAATCAATCGATAATTAATCGAGTCGCTCCGCCTCATGAAGGCATGGTATTGATCGTTTGACCGATCCCTTTCGCGCTCCATCCTTTCCTCGTAGAGGAAATCCTTCGAACGTTGCAGGGCATCGAGACGATATAAAATATCGTTCGAGGATTCGACGGAATTTCGAACGCTGACTGAATAATAGAGTTTGCGTGATTGGTTTGACAGCCGACGTCATCTTCTCGAAACTTAACTAACCGGCTTGTTAGACGTTGAACAGATCATCGGTGGAGACATAACAGATAACGATATTCGCGCAATAATAAACTTTGATAGACTCCGATGGATAGACTCAACAACCTTCGTTCTCCTTGAAGGTAAACTGTTAACGAGATTAATAAGTATTTACACCCTGTCCGTTATGGAAGATCGTGAAAAGATGTTCGATCATTCTTTAATAATAGATCTTTAAAAAATTTTACGACCGCGTAACGCGTTCACTTTTTTGTTTCGAAATGTTGTGAAACGAAAACTTCTTTCGACGAACACGAGAAAAGTAAAACGAATCAATTGCAACTAATTTCCAACTTCCAACCTCCGAGAAAAAGGGGGGAGGAGGAGGAGGTTGAGGAGGGATGGAGGAAAGAGAAAAGCTGTTTCTCCTGTTCGAGAGACAGACTTTCCTTTTCCCTTACTTTCCCGCTACTCAGTTTCTCGAATAGAAAGCGCAGTCGGCCAACACATTATCGCGACAACACATTTCGAAACACGTTGTCGCGCGAATTGATACTCACCTCCTCGCCCTGCACGTCCCTGTACCGGACCCACTTGCCGAGCTTCGGCCTCCAATACTCGAGCATATACGCCTCCGAGTATTCGACACCTTGGCCGTTGCCAAAGCGGCCCTGAGTGCCTGTGGCGGTGATCATGTGAACCGTGTGAAGATCGATTTCCAACCACTCGCGTGGCTCTGTGGTGATCTGCAGCTTCGGGCACCAGGCACCTCCGTGGCTCTCTTGCTTCAGCCTGCAAGGGTAAATATTTACACTGAGATTACCGGCCTTCTATTTCTTCTCTCGTTTCTTTTTTTTTTTCTCTCTTCTTTCTTTCTTTCCCTCCCTCCCCCTCACCTTCCTGGTCCAGAGTTTTATCTCTCCTCCCTCTGTTCCCCGCACCTCTGTTTCCACATTCCTGTTCGCTCGGAGGTAGAATTTTTCTTTTTTTTTTTCCCCCTTCCCCCCCTCTTCTTTTTTCTATCTCGTCATCCGGGAAAACGAGAACGCAGGTTGGAAATCATTCCAAGGGAAACCGAGAGACTCGTCGTGGACCGCGTGGGAAAACATGGAGATTTTTCTGGGTCTCTGGTCGGGGAATTTCGACGCGCAACTTAATTTCCATCGCGTTCGCGAGTATGGAGGGGCGAGGGGGAAGGGGGGGGGCTGTGTGTGTACACGGAGGAACGACGTTCTCCAGTGTTTAAATGGCGTAATTGATATTTGAACGATTGTAAGGGGATTTAATCTTTCTCCTTTTCCCCAACGACAATTGCGAACACAGGGATTTTCCAGAGGATGAAGGATATCGCGGTTAACGTGAATGGAGACGAGAGATGTATATGAAATACGTCCAAACTGTTGATTCTTTCCTCTCGCCTAATTTATCCCATGTTGTATTCATCCGCCTCTACGATCCGCGATATCATGTACGCACGATATTGTTCCTCCTCTTCCAAAATCCCCATCCCCATTCTCTGTTCGTCTAAAATTTTATCGCGCGTTTCACATTTCACGTAAAAATTTCTATATATATATATACAGAAACATTATCACATTCACCACGTTGCCTCGCCTCGCCTTCGAGAATCCCGCAAACTCGACAATTACTTATCGACTTATCCCATCGTATTCACGTGGCGCCTTTTCGTCGCGGGATCCGCGCACAATCGTGGGACGGACGTTGGCGATCGACGTTTGCGACAATCGATAAGGATCGAGCGATAAGGCGGCTTGTAAAGGGGGAGGAGGATGACAGTATAATCGGAAATGTTACACGGTCGCGGGAAAGGAAATCGCATAAATACGTGATCCTGGCGGTGGCTGACGGATAACCGTCACCTCTGCCTGGCCCCCGATACCGTGGGGGAAGGGAGGGGAGGGGGGGAGGGGGGGGAGGGGGATAAAAATTATAATTTATCGATCGAGCCGAGCCACCGGATGGCATGAATTAAAGATGAGCTGGCGCGGCCGTGCAACGGGGAAGCCACTCTTCGAGAGCCGGCTAATAATTGTATTCGCGCATAGCTTCCGTCTACGGCATTAAAAACCTCTCCCTCCCCCTCCCCTCTTTCTCTCTCTCTCTCTC